CTGGGCTCGGGGCTCTCGGGGGGATGTGGGGCAGCGAGGGGCCGGGCCCCTGGGCTCGCCCGAGGAGGTGAGGAGCGCTGAGTTTCAGGTCTCTCTGGGGGCTGGGGTGCATAGCAGATGCATTCCTCGCTTCTACTTGCAGTGTGTCTTCTTCTTTCAGGCCTGGCTGAATGAGAAGTTTGCCCCAGAGCTGCTGGAGAGCAAACCTGAGATCGTTGAGTGTGTTGTGGAGCAGCTGGACCACATGGTAGGTTCTGCTGGGCTCAGGTGGTGGTACAGGCCTGGCCTGGCAGATACGTGCTTGGGTCCCTCTGGGATTGCCAGGATTGTCTGCTTCTCTGTCCCTGAGATAAGGCTGTTCTGAGTACTTTTCTCTGAGCTTCTCATGGAGATGGGACTGGGAGACAGAAGGAAACAGTACGCTTTGTGTCATCAAAAGCAGCTGTAGTCTGTTTTTGTGAACTCTATGTACAAAACCTATCTTTCTGTCTGTTTCTTGTTGTTTGACATTTCGTCCATTTAATTTCTCTTTGCCTTTCCTTGCAGGAGGCAAACCTGAAACGGGCGAAGAAAGGAGACTTGAAGGTCAGCGTTCACCGCATGGAGATTGAAAGGATCCGTTATGTGCTCAGCAGCTACTTGCGATGTAGGCTTGTGAAGGTAATGCTTGTGCTGCCCAGAGGATAAAAGAGGGTGACTTCAGGAGCGATTTTTACCCATACAATGGCTCCTGCTGCAGCAAGGCACTTAGTTGAGGCATGCTCTCTCTTGTGTCCTCTGAAGTGCACCCCAAAGGAATTCATGCCTTGGACACACTTTTCTGTTATGATGAAGGAGGATCACAGGATTGCTATGGTTGTTTTCTTACCTTGTCTAAGCCCGGGATGGTACAGTTGACTGCTTCCATGTTCTGCCTGGGTCCTGGCAGGTACACGTATGGTTGCACAGCTTGGAGACCCCAGCTGACCATATTGCCATTAATTCAGGAGCAGGTATTGGGGCAGGCCTGTGGCTGCTGCGTACACCTGTACAGCAGTGGACTGTTGCTTGCAGGAGAAGCCTCTGGGGAGTGGGGATTGTCAGCACTGAACTACTGGGAGAGGTCTGTTTCAGACTTCGGCTTTTGTTCCAATATCAGATAGAGAAGTTTTTCCCTCATGTCCTGGAGAAGGAGAAATCTCGAGCTGAAGGGGAGCCTTCCATTCTGTCACCAGAGGAGTTTGCCTTTGCTAAAGAGTAAGTATGTTTTGGATGCATCTACCTCCCTTTTTATAGGTTGTAGAACTTGCCCATGTGTTATGCTGAACACTTCTTTGAGACTGTTAGCCTTAGACAGGTTTGCAGTAAGAATCATGGGTTTTACCAGGAGGTTTCCTTGTGGACAAGGAAAGAGCTGAAATAAAATAATTTTGGTAACTCTGAGCCAGTTACCAGGGCAAGCTGTGAGGTTTGTCTCTGGCCGTGCCAGTGGGACCAGGAGATGTCAATTCCTAAGTTTTGAGTCAGTATTCTCCCTGTAAAATTGCATTTGATTAAACCAGTAAATGCTTCAATGATTTGTTTCAGGTACATGGCAAACACAGAGACTTATCTGAAAAACGTGGCCCTAAAACACATGCCACCCAACCTGCAGAAAGTGTCTCTCCTGAAATCAGGTGAGTACATCCAGACTGCAGGGTGATCTGAAAATTATAGCAGCAGGGGTGTGGGGAAAGCTCTGAGGATCATGGCATGTTAAGGGCTAGTCCTCCAGCTGGCAAAGATGGCATGGTGATAGTGTCGTAATGCTGCTCTTCTCTGTGGTACATGGCTTGATGCTGCTGTCCCTCGGGACTTCTGTCCGAGGGTTGTGCTGGCCCTGCCATCGAGTCTTGTCTTGCACTGGGGCACTGCACACTGCATCTGATCAGAAGCATCTAGCGTTCCCTTTACTGGCCAAGAGTTTGCCGTCCCTCATACCCCTCTGTTGGCTCGGTGTCCTGCAGAGGAACATAAGTGAGTGCTGAGCTTGTGCTGTGCATCCATTGTCTGCAGTTCCGAAGCCCAACCTGGATGCCTTTGTGTTCCTGAGGGTGTTGGAGCGGCAGGAGAACATCCTGGTCGAGCCAGAGACGGATGAGCAGAGGTAGGTGGGTGCTTCCCCATGCGGTGCACGTAAATAAGTTAGTTTCACAAAAGTGTTGTGGGTGAAAGTGAAACAGGACAGGCAGCTTAATGTTGCATCTGTCTCTGGCAGAGAGTACACCATTGACCTGGAGGAGGGCTCGCAGCACCTCATCCGCTACAAGACCATCGCTCCGCTAGTGGCCTCGGGAGCAGTGCAGCTCATCTGAGGGGCAAGCGGTAAGTGCAGGGCCAGGACCGTGGTGACGCCAAGGGGCCAAATGCTGCAGCCACTGTGAACCCCTCGAGGGGGCAAAATGCTCCAGCCACTGTGACCCCCTCTGTGGCTGCCGGGGCGTGGCTGACAGGTGGCACTGGGGCAGGGCTGGGCCATGTCCCCCTCGGCCATGGCATGGCTGGGCAGGGCAGCAGCTGTGTTGTGTGGGCTACCCTTGAAAGCATGCAAATAAACCAGCAGGATGTCTTTCCCTCTGTCAATGCAGAGGGGCTCGTCACCCCCACAGCTCATCAGACTCCTAATTGCTTATGGTACGGCAACAGTACAGCTGGACTCCTGTCTCTGGCGCTCTTGGGCGAGGGCAGTCTGTGTCACAGCCTTGCCACAGTCCCCTTGGAGTCCCGAGGGAGGGATGAGTGTAGCTGCTGCCCCTCAAGATCCCAGGCTGGTTTGGCAGCAGTCGTGGACAGAGTGTGTCTGTCCTCAAAGGTGAATGCAGCCTTTTAAATAACAGGGTGCTCTCTTTTTAAACTTGCAGCTGTGTGTTCATTCCTGTTCCAGCTTAGCACTGTTCTTTGAATTAGGCTATCAGGTGGAAACTGACTGACCAAGGGGCGTGGCAACCAGCCATGCAAACCCCCCCTTCTCCCCTCAGCTTTGATCTTGTCGCAGGGTCTGTGCAACCCTGGATATTGTGCAAGTGGCCAGTTGCTCTGAGGTGAGCGGGTGGGATCCTTCTGCACCATCTTTGCGACATGATCCATTGATCAAAAGAACACCACATATAAAGGTATTTGGTGGCAGAGCAAATCTTGGTTCTTGCAGAAGGAGAAGGAAGGATTGCTGCAGGCTGAGAATAGGAGTCTTGGTTTTGCTTCACCTGTTCTTTGTGTGTTATTCGTGCTGCTTCCTGTCGGGCCAGCACTCTTGGATATCTGCAGCAGAGCATTCAGCTCCCTGTGCAGGGAGACTTGAACCAACAGAACAAATGCAAAGTGACGAGTTGGAGGGCGTTGTCTGGAAAGCTTCAGTGTGTAGCTGCTAGGATGCCTTAAGCCCAGTGTCAGCCAGTTTCACTGAAGCGGAACAAGCTCCTCCAGCCCTGTTGACCTGTGCGTGCCTCTGCTTGGAGGAAATGCCAGGGTGTCCCATGCTGCCTCAGCTGGGTGCCTGCTCGGTGTGTGGACAGACAGTGGCTCGTGTTCCTTCAGGTCAGGGTCTTCCCTGCCCAGTGCTTTGTGCGAGGAGCAGCCTGGGGCTCCTCCGACACTCCCCTCTGCCAAGGGACGGGTGACACGGTGCATCATGTAGTGTGAGTGGCTTTGCATGTGTGGTTTATAGTGTTCCTAATGAATCCATTTAGGTAAAGAAGATTCTTTTAAGCATAGACGTTAAGAGGAGGCTGGGTTTAATCCTTGGAAATCAGCAGCACATACCTCTGCACAGCCTGCCAGGAAGGGCTGTGGGTTGTGCCCTGCCTGTATCTGCAGCCCAGGCAGCTTCACAGAGGTGACTGAAGCTCCCAGCCAAAGTCATCGTTAATCCGCTGCTGCAGAGCGTGCTCTAGAAAAGCTGCTTGGAGAATGTCTAGGTGGCATGTCTGGCAGACTTTCTCCTTGGCCCTATTAAGTTTGACTGGACAATTGTCCAGACTTGCCTCACCACAGCATCGCACGTGGCTGCAGCAATGTGGGCGTAAGGGGCACCCGTCCTCTTCCAGCATCTGAATCTGAACTGTCTCTTGATTCTTTCCCGAATGCCTTTGGTACAGCTCCTCTCTGGAGTCTGACAGCTGGCATGTGGCTTGATGTCAAGAAAGTGATGCTTTTGGCTTGTACTTGTAGATGGAGGACAAGACCCAGCAGTCCATCCACCCTAACCTGTGCCTTTGGAACAGAACATACAGAGTGGAAGCAGCTTTTCCAGCTCTGATGGGGTCTGCTGTAAGGCTTGGGCTCAAGTGCACCCTGTGTTCTCTGTTCCCTCCAAGGTGGAGATAACTTGGGTTTACTGAATGATTAGCTCTAAACACAAAGTAGGTGGATGGTGAAAGAGGTCGTAATAAGGGCAGTGTGGTGAGCTGTGATTTCCCAGCCTGAGCCGGATCTGCTCTCCTGAGTGCAGGAGAGAGGTGGGGCACGTGGTTTCACTGCTAGGAAGACTCTTTCATGTCTGCGTTGACCCCCCAAGTCACTGAAGTGGGGGGGACTGTCAGCACTGCCGGCCTGAGAGGGTGTGATGAGACATAGATAATCTGTGATTCAGTGAGGGTGGTTGTTCCTTAGTAGCGATGACTACCTACAGAAACTTCATACACAGTGGGGAAAACACTGGAAATTCTGTGGGAATGCTGGACCAGCGCATCTGGCTCCTGGTCACCCACAAAGGTCGCTGTCCTGCTCCTCCCTGGGCCAGCAGGGGTGCAAGTGCCACGTGTCCTTCTAGGGGTGGTGCCACTTTGACTCTCCCACATCTTTTTCTGGTGTTTTTGGTGACTAAGGCCAGGGCTGCATGGCAGATTTTTGCCAGCCAGGCGCTGGGTTCAGGCTCACGTCTGGCCACCCTGCACGAGGTGTCCTGTGTTGTGCTGGGGACGTTCAGACACCGTGGCGATGGAAAGCCGTGTGTAAATACTGATAGGCTGTGTCAGGAGCTGATGGAAATCTGTGCTGTCAGCAG